TGACCCTTCAAACCACTATGTAGGAATGCACTTGTGTCACACAGGGTCACGTGGATACCCACACCCTCTGAACATCCATCCCTTCCAGAGACACTTGTCTTTAGCCCACCCACTTCTCTTTCTAGACTGGTATCAAAATTACACAGTTGAGTATGAATCAGACACCTACAGATTGGTTTATTAAGTATTATGGCTGTTCTCCCAGGCCTGTAGAATACCCCTTGCTCTGTATTTCCTCTCCTAAAAAGTACCACTGTTCCTGAGCTCATTAAGTCCAGAATGGTGACAGGATTAATTTCCAGTTAGGAAGGAGTTACCTCATCATTGAACATCATTGGGACCTATATAGATGAGAGAGCTCTCCAGCACCATCAAGTCTGAGACATCCTCGGGCATAGTACATGGTCTGTGGGAACTTTATTATCAGAGAAGCAGCACCTGTGAGATCTTCAGTGCAAAACTTCAATCGAGTGCAAATATTAACATCACATACATAAATATCATTTAAATCCATTGGTAGAGCTAACCTTTGGGCCTTTAATAAAAACCCCAAAACTTAACCTCAGCATGTATATTTCTCTTTTTGCTATGTTTCTCTTTCCCATCTCACCTGGGAATTAAAAGAGCCAACCAATTTACAACAGGGATGCAAATCACAGTTTGGAAATTCAAAAGGCAGAAGACCAATTTGCTTAATATCTACCTCACTGGAATGAACCCCAAATTTGTTCGGCATTTATCCTTAAAGCAAGCTTGACAATGGGGCAACACGAGGCTGAAATGCTCAAAGGCAAAATTGTTCTGAGATAATCGGTTTATGCTCATTCACAGACTGTGCCAACCATTGTGTGCCTGGTACAAACTCCCTTCCTGTGCTAAAGGACAGGACTCTGAAGGTTTACTGGTCATGATTGGAAGTCTCACTTAGTATCATGATATAAGCTAACAAATCTATAATGAATCCATGCCAGTGCATTGCAGTGCAGGACAAAATAAAAACAATGCAGACTATAAAATCATAGGATAGCTGCTTCCTAGGTACTGAAAATATCTAACTAAATGCTAGTTTCAAATCTGTGCAGCAGGCTCCTTGACTAACTCTTGGCTCTCAGTAAAGAGATTATTGTAGGATTAAACCTTACCTTGGGAGGTAGAAAAGAAACAAGTCTCTAATTATCTCTACTCTTGTACTCTGGCCATGATTTCTCTTTCTCTGGGGAAAAATAGACTTTGTATTGTCTAAAGTTTAATGTGTGTATTCTATCAGCTTATTTTAATGTATTTTAATGTATTTTAATGTATTAATAAGATAATTTTTTAACCTTTACCTTACAGTTTTTACATGTACTTTCTAATAGGAATATTTTTTGTGATTTTCTTGCAGCATATACACATGTTCATGCTAAAAAGTCCTTTTATAAATATTTTACTCCGTAACCTGAAATTCTCTTTTATGTACAGCCTAAACCACTTGAACCACTGCAGGAGAAGGAATTTTCTATTTGCAATCACACAGTTTACTTTTTGTTACTATTTAATTAAATTATTGACAAATATTTGCAAGGCAAACTGTCTGTTAATGACTAAACACCATCAAGAACAGGAATAACCTTACTCATTTAGAGAGGAATGCCACTCAAGAGGCAAAACTACTACCTTGTTCTTCCTCCTAGGGGCAAAGTTGAAGCTGGAAGAAAAATAACTGAGGAAAAAACCCACAGAAGTCTTGATCTGGAAAAATAAAATCATGGCTATGCTGAGTGAAGAGGGAAGGAAACTGAAGAACCTGCTTTCTAATAATGTGTGAGAAAACTCAGTATGTGATTTTGAGAGAGAAAATGAGAAGCTGCAGTTTAAAATAACATTAGAAAAACATGAGAGAGTGCTTTTGGTTGATTTGATGAAGAGGAAAAAGAAATTAAGAGAAAAAATAGAGCAATGAGGAAAACTAACAAGGCATCACAGGAAGGTATAGAAAGATAGTAAGGAAAAAGCATCAAGAAGATGTGAGAGAAACATGGATTGTTGCATGAGACAGATAACCAGATACTGCACATGCAGAAGAAATTAAAATTACCAGGAAAATTCACTAAGCTACACTAAAAAAAGGAAGCCTAGAAAAGGAAAAAACAACATGAAAAATAAAGAAAACTCTGAGTTATCTGTCATTTTCTCATTTGTACGAAACCTAATCTAAATGACATTAAATATTGTTTGATTTAGAGGAAGTTGGAAAGGTTCTACAAAATGTTTTGCACTTTTCCCCCGGAAAACTAAGTGTCCAAATCACAATTTTCCTGAACTATTTTTATTCTGTTAGGAAAAGTACAACAAAATCTAGTATGCTGAGTTAAACTGAATTGATGTTTAGTTTGCCTAACCAGTCAATCTCCTTATCTGGGGTTAATCTATAACTAAACTTCTCCTGGGTGAATTGTTGTAGAGTTTATGGGGAGTTATTGTTCAACTACCAAGTTCTATTCAATGGATTAGCTTTTCCAAGGAGAATTTCAGCTTTCCATCTGCCCAAACTGTTACATTATACAGTACTTGCAGGAAAATCCATATTACATGGGAGACATCACCTAAACAGACAGTCTAGGAGATGAAAATGGGAATAGGCCACAGAACAGTTTCTTTAATAGATGTCCCCATTCCCACTTGTAGTCATTATTTGCTTCCAGTCCACAGCCTTATTATGGTTTTCTATTTCCTACTCTCACCTCCTTTCACACCTAAAGATATTTTTCTAGGCTCTTACCTCTACTACATCTCTTTCCACATTTCTACCACCTTCTCTCTGTTCCTTCCTGTATTTACTAGGCAGTATGTCTGCAATGAAAAGTAATATGAACTCCTTGGCATTTTGGGCACATCAGCCTGCCCAGGAATCTTCCTTCTCAAATGGTTGTCACTCAGACCCTTTTCATGAGCCCACAAAACAGGCCTCCTGACTGATGCTAGTTAAAGGGTCAATAGAATATGTGAGTAAAACATTAAGTCCTTGGTGTATGCTGGCACAGAGCACACATTTTCATAGGGTTAAAAAAAAAAAATTTCAATGATTTTTCAACACATTGTGATGCATATGCCTAGGAGTGTAACATGTATGTATATCTCATAGGTATGTTGATGATAATAAATGCTTTCAGTTTCCACTGATTTTTTTCCTTGTCCCCAGAACTTGCTACAGAAGCAAACAGGTTTCCAAAAATCTATTACAAAAGATATAGCAAAAGAAATTAAGTATTGGATCACAGATCAATTGTAACTAGATTTCTTCTGTTTTGTTTTGTTTTGTTTTCTCTAAGACAAAAACTTCATGTATTTTACAAACTAAAGAAGTTACATGTAAAATTAACTTCTATGTATTGCAAATGTACAAGTCATTTCAGCCCTTCTGTCTGGACTCAACTAACCTCACAGGAAAAACTTTTTCAAAGCTTCCCTCCGAAGAACATTTGTGTCTGAATTATGAGAGACCTAAAGGATGAACGAGTCAAATGTTCTCCAAATCCTGAGCAAATCAGCTTTGTGTCAGGAGCTGTCTTCCACCCCCACAAAGGAATTTCAAAGGTGTGAGTAACTCAGTGTACTTGTATTTTTCAACAGAAATAACAGATGTTCTCAAGTTTCTCCAAGCTGTGACTCCAACTGTTGTGCTGAAAAAAGTCGTGACCTAGCTCTTACAAACATATTAAAACTGATTTTTTTCACTTCAAATTTTATTAGCCAGTTGCTTTGCCTATTTATACCTTTAAACATGATGATTTCAACGAAAAAGGAATTCATCACACACTAATTGAAACCAATGTCAGCACTCCAACTGAGTGCCAGAGTCCTTTACAAATACTTGCAAGCATACTAAATGAACTCATGTTTTTAAAAAGTCCAATATTTGCATCAATTCTAGTGTCTCGTGGTATTCAGAATATCAAAACAACAGTTATAGGAACCACAGAATTTAATCAAGGATCTGTCCCTTTCTAATTACACCTCAAAACTGCAAGATTAGACCCGCCTTCTCCTTATTTTATAAAAGAGTAATTATTAGATGACATTGTTTGAATAAAGCACATATGAACCAGTGATACAACCATGGTATAAATCTCAAGAATTGCTAATTTAGGACTGGACTAAATCAAGTTTGCAGTGGATGAAAGCACTTTTTAAAATGCACAGCTATCATTTCAGGTACATTTTAGTCCACCACGTCACCTACCTGTGAGCATGGCTAGACATAGCACATGATATGCAATTTCTGAATTAGGCCTATACCAACTGGTCACCTAGTGTATCTAAGGAAAATGGCAATTGCTGAGCCCTTTCCAAAACCTTTGCACCATGGGACCCTCATGTGAGCTTCTCTCTACCCACCTCTCCATATTCACAAAATGTGCAGGATTCTGACTGGTTTTGTTATTTAAAAACAATTTTCTTCCCAAACTTTACGTATAAAACTGGTAACAAGAGATGAGAAAAGGACTGTTACTCATCAACTTTTTTTTGCCTCAGTCTTTAACGGAAACTTCTTTTCCTACACCTCCTGAGTAGACAGACATCCAGATGAGGACTGGGGGAGCAAAGTCCCTCTGATTGTAAAGATCAAGTTCCTTCCAAGCAACCTGAATGTACATAGGCCTGTGGGACCCAATAAGGAATATCCCAGAGTCCTGAGGGAATTGGCTGATGTAGTTGCCAAGGCACACTCCATGATACTTTAAAAGTCATGGCAGTCAGGTGAAGTCCCAGGAGACTGGAAAAAGGGAAACAACAGTGCCCATCTTTAGAAAGGGTAGAAAGAAGAATCCTGGGAAATACCAACCTGTCAGAATCACCTCTGTGTCTGAGAAGGTCATGGAAGAGATCATCCTAGAAGCTGTGCTAAAGGCACATGGAAGACAGGAAGGTGATCTGAGATACCTAGCATGGACTGACCAAAGGGAAAGTCTTGCCTGACCAGCCTAGTGGCCTTGTCTGATGGGGTGACTACATCAGTGGACAAGGGATGCTCTACAAATGTCATTTATCTGGAGTTTTCTAAAGGGTTTTTTTTACAGGGTCCCAAACAACATCATTCCCTCTAAATTGGAGAGAGAGGGATTTGATGGATGGATCAGGAATTAGTTGGATGGCTCCGTCAGAAGTCCATACTGGGACCAGTGCTATTTAATATCTTCATTAATGACATAAATGAAGGGATCAAGTGCACCCTCAGCAAATTTGCAGATGACACCAAGCTGAGAGGTGCTGTTGACACACCTGAAGGATGGGACACCATCCAGAGGGGCCTGGGCAAGCTCCAGAAGCCGGGCCATGGGAACCTCATAAGGTTTACAAGACCAAGGTGCTACACCTGGATTGGGACAATCTCTGACATCAAAACAGGCTGGAGGATGAAGGGATCAAGAGAAGCCCTGCCAAGAAGGACTTGGGGATGTTGGTGAATAAGAAGCTGGATATGAACTGGCAATGTGCACTCATAGCCCAGAAAGCCAAACATGTCCCGGGCTGCATCAAAAGCAGCATGGCAAGCAGAGCAAGGGAGGTGATTCTGCCCCTTTCCTCTGCTCTGGTGAGATGTCAAGACCCCACCTGGAATGCTGCATCCAACTCCAGGGTCCTCAGCATAGGAAAGACATAAACCTGTTGGAGTGAGTCCAGAAGAGAGACACCAAGATGATCAGAGGAATGGAGCACATCTCCTACAAGGAAAGGCTGAGAGAATTGAGATTGTTCAGCCTGGAGAAAAGAAGGCTCTGGGGACACCTACTTGCTGCCTTCCAATACCTGAAAGGGGCCTACAAGAAAGCCAGAGATCTTTTATATAAGCAGGTAGTGATAGGACAAGGGGAAATGGCTTTAAACTGAGAGTACGTTTTGATTAGATATTAGGAAAAAAGTCTTTACTGTGAAGGTGGTGAGACACTGAAACAGGTTGCCCTGAGCAATTGTGGATGTCCCATTCCTGGAAGCGTTCAAGGTCAAGTTGGATGAGGTTCAGAGCAACCTGGTCTAGTGGAAGATGTCCCTCTGCATGACATGGGGGTTGGAGCTAAATGATCTTTAAGGTCCCTTGCAACTCAAACCACTCTGGGATGCTATGATTCTATGATAAATTGGTCCATATATTCAGAACTTGTTATGGGCAGGTTGATAGACAAGGAGCATGAAACCAGGTAAAATAGTAACATTGCACAAAATTGATGCAGCTATTCTGCATACATTAAAACTGCCTGACTGACAGACCCTAGAAAGTAATTACCATGGTGAAATCATTAACTAGTACTGTGTTAACTCTGGGGAGCTCTGCAAACAAAGATTCTCTTTTAGTTTGTCACAGACACAAGAGAATAGTATCTTTCTGTTCAGGATTTATGGGCTGAAATACTAAAAGAGTTTGTAATCCAAGTCCGACAAGCCTATAACAGTAAAGCCTTCACATAAAATCTCTGTTGATAACACTAGTCACTTGTTACAGACATATTCATAATCCCAAGAAACTTTCTTAAACAAAATTCAGGTTGCACTTTGTTACTTTAGGAGATACCAGACGATTACAAGCCACTAAAAAATGTATTTGTCTCTCTCATAGCAAATTGCACCATATTTACTTTAATAAAGTTACATACATAATGCCTGTCTTCTTACAGTATTGTCTCAGTCAAAATATACTTTCGAAGAAAAAGAAAGGTTTTGACTACTGTCAGTTGAACAGATCTTATAAAAAGTAATTTCTCTACTGCCTTGTTTCCTACACTCACCAACCAAATATTCAGGACCTCAGCTCTCTACACATTCATGATTAAAAAGACAATAATGTGTAGCCTTTGAGACTTTTTCAGATAAAGGAGAGAGCCTTCCTCACCTGTAGTCAGAGATTTTGTCTTTGTGATTTACTCACATAGAGTAAATACACATAGAGTGTGTATGTTATTTGAATTACTTAACTCAAAGGGTATTTCACCACGTACCTGGAAAAATCAACACTTAATACCCAGATGAATAATAGGGTTTGCAGCTTGGGAATCAAATCTTCCTGAATACTAGAGTCAGCTATTTATAGGGGATTACTGGGTGTATACTCCACCTTTTAAAATAAAGAATAATAAATAAATACTCTGAAACTTCAGAGCCCATCACCTTAACTAGCTAAACTACTAGAAAAGTAAAGAGATATTTTATTATCAATGCTATTTGTTCCTGACTGCTAGGGAAAAAATGGTTTTGCCTTTCATTGCCTGCATAGAGAAATTACTAAGACATATGCTGAGAATTGTGCTGAGAATTGTACTGACATCATTGAGATTAAACTCTGTATAACTTAGTATCAGTGAATGCCATCAGGGACTCATCAAGACCACAGAGGAATTGAGGCTCTCTCTTCTCATCTGGCATATGTATTCACACTACTGAGGACTCACTCTTACTGGGGGCTTTGAGAGTAGTTTTCACCCTTTCACTATTCAGTCCACAGATTATTTTGTGATTAGTCCAACAGCATGAAAATGATAGCTGGATATTTTTAAAGGTATATTTATTCACTGTGCACTGGATAGAGTCACACCCTGCACTGGGCTCAGCAGTTCATGAGCTTTATTGCAAGTTGCATCACTGATTCATTCAATTAGGAACCTGATAATCCTTATTTTATAAAACAGAGGAGATGTGACCGCCTTAGAGTTTTGAGGTGTAACTAGAAAAGGACAGATCCTGGACAAACTGCTTTGGTTCCTGTGCTGATTATTTGGTATTCTGAATACTTCAAGATGTTAGACATTAAGCAAAGACTGGACATTTTTAAACTAGAGGCATTTTAAGGCAATAAAGTAAAAATACAGAAAGAAGGCAGGAATATTGCAGAGAGCTGTGACATGGCAAACAACCATGCAGAAAAACAGTTTTTAATTTTTTTGCTTCCCATACATCTCTTTTAGGTAGGCTGCCACACAGAATAAAACAAACGCCCTATATAAACTAGTGTATTATGTCAATAGAGTCATCTTTATCAAATGTACTTGAAATCTTGCCAAAGAACGATATCAAAGCTATTTGACAAGACTCATTTTTTCTGAATAAAACAGACACTTTGTGGTCATGAATAAAAATGTGATCTTCTTGCTGCTAAATATTGAAAGCATGTAGATCTCATTTATCTAGCTTTTTGCCCACCTCTCAGTGATATCTTAAGTCTCTAAGAATCTTAAATTGCATACTGTGACTATTATTCTAAATTCTGCTCCAGTCTCAACCCTTTCAATTGGCTTTTGAAAGCTATAACTTACAAAAGAATATTCCCTTTACCTACACATGAGATGATAAAATAACAGAATTTCCAAAAGGGACAGAAACCGGGGGAAAACGACATTTTATATTAGCTCTCCATGAAACAGAATTTTGCAGAACCACTCGTAGCTTCATGCTGAAAGAAATGTGACTAGATGTTTGTCCAGTCAGCACTGTGGGTGAATTTGACTCTGATGCTGGTAAGGGACCTGTAAAACACATCACCATGCCCCCACTGCACTGTGCTGAGCATGGCTGTCTCTGAGTGAATCAGTGACTACAGCCCCTCAGGGTGCATTCTGGTAATTCTACTAAGCCAGTAACAGTCATCTGTCAGAAAAGGCACAGTTCCAGTGCCCCTCTTTCTCTCCTAGTCCCTGCGGCAAATTTATTCCTGAAATCCATAGACTTAAGCAACTTTGATATGGCAAATCAAACAGCCTATGTTGGAACTACTTCCTGGAAGTATCTTACAGACTCAGAAACTAGACAAATAATTTGCTTTACTGCATTTTTATTGTTAATACTACTCTTAAAATTACACCTAAACCCGCCCTCACTGTAGCTTGCACTGTACAGACATTAAAAACAACAGTTTTGCCTCTGAAGTACCTTATAGAGAGATGAGCAGGAAGAGGTTATACTGGTTCATATGAAAAAGCATCTCTAGCAAAAGAGTTATGTAGCTATGCTTGGACTCTGACAAAGCTCAAAGCAGAGACCTGATGCTTAAAAAAACAGAGAAAGAGGGGTTTAGGGGTATTACGCAGATTTTGTGCTACACATAATTAGCAGAATGAAAGTGAATGTACAAGACTGGTACCATTTGTATAATGGCAGTGAGGGATATTTCTTGGTGATGTAGATTAGACATGGCTTGAAAAGTAGAAAAATCATTTGTATTTCACTCAGTGAAGAAAATGAGCCAATGGCATTGTGCAAAAAAAGAGGAGTGACAGGAGTGGGACAATGAGCCTAGAAAACGACCTTTGCGTTTGGATTGAAAGACAATGAAAGCATTGTTAAGTGCATATATGTTATTCATATAGCTCCCAGCAGCTGGTTTTCTGAGGGGGTAGAGAGACCATGGGAGCTGAGAAGGTAAGCCAAGTACGCCTGAAAAAGACAAAATACAGTAACAGGACAGATATCAACTGTTGAAAACAATGCACAGCCCACAGATTAAAAACTTGAACAGCTCTTTTGGATAAGAAAAGAGACAATATAAGCATATCTACCATTAAGTGAACTGTAATTAAAGGTTAGAAATACTTGTAAAAAATTTACACAAATCTGAGACTGCAGTCTGGAAAGCAGCAGTAATGAAGACTATCTGAAAGACAGTATCAGTCCTGAAACACTTAAGCACATACTGAATTTAAGGTAACTCAGCCAGTTCTTGGTGTTTGCTTTCTTAAAATAGAGGTGAATCTCAATTAAGTTTAAAGGAATTACAGTATATTTACTGTCTTTCTCCCAGTGTCTCTACAGTTTTCCCACTGGGACTTTAAAACTGTGAGCAAGCAGAGATGAAGGGCAAGTCTTAAGAAAAGGCCTGTCTTCCGCCAGAGCTCTTGAGCACTGACTTGGGCATACAAAGATGTGGATTTGGATTAGCAAGCTACCCATTGATTCTCACAGCATACTGAATCCCCCTGGATTGTAACGGCCTGGATACAGTATAAAGAGTAAAGGAGTTCCTGCTTTGTCCAAGAAAAGAACTTT